CACACAGTGGTTTTCTGGCTAAACCATGGCTTTTGGAGGGTATTGGCACTGCTGAGCACTTGCATTTTTTCACGTTTTCATGGCATAGCAGGCCACACCTTCCCGATTTTATGAAACCTCCTTATCCATTCAGAGAAGAAAGTATTTGGATCCAGGCAGCACAAACCCCAGTGTTGGAGCTTCTGGCACGATTGTACCGACAGGCCCTGCTGGAACAGGGTCTCGTTGTGATGTTAATTAGTATCTATTGACCCGCTCCACTGTTCGGATGCAGTGGGACACGCATGGGTTCTCAAATATGCTTACGTAAGGAGCAGCCCAACTGATGTCAGGCTCCTGCCAATAAACTAATTGCTTTTGCCCAGACCACATCTCTGCTGGGAGAGGAGCTAGAAATCAGTTTCTGGCTTCCAGCAAAGGTCATGCGTTCCTGATATCCAAGCTGAGCATTGCATCTGTAATCACCATCTTTTCCACATAAAATTCATCCAAGTTTGGAATCAAAATTCTTTTCTGGCTCTGTTCATAGAGTTTAATCTTATCTTTGTTTCAAGTGAGTTACCGGGGTGGATAATTGCCTCGCACCCCACGGGCACGCGCAGTGGCTGAGCAGCAGGGAGGCTGGTCCCACCAGGCAGAACAGAATCGTTCAGTTGGAAAAGACTTTTAAGATCACTGAGTCCAACCGTACCTGTCCACTAGTAAACCACGTCACTAAGCACCTCATCCACCTGACTTTTAAATACCTCCAGGGATAGGGACTCGCTCGGTCTTGCTCTCCATTTAAATACCTGTTGAGGAAAGAAAAAAAAAAAAAAAACCAAAAACCCAAACCCAATGTAGTTAGTAGGGGTATTTGCTCTGATGAAGATGAGAAGTGGGTTTCTTTTAATATCCAAGGTCTGGGGAATTCCTGCTTAGAGACACTGGGAGCATGTGACACCAAGCGAGAGACCAGCTTTGCCAGTGGGACTATGGCAATATAGATCCCTACGGGTATGTGATATGTTTAGCATTTTCCTTAAAATCCCGTCAACCCGTCTCTCCTCGCTGCCCGCAGGCGAGGGGAGCGCCTGCCTGC